TTAAACTGCACAGTTTAACTGATTTAGCACATTCTTCTCTCTAAGGTCACACTTTTGTTAGAGAAAATTTTAATTTATAATACTTCTCTCTCTGAGAATTGGAGAGGGGGGTCTCAAAACTAATGAGAAAAATGTACAAGGTGGATTTGACCCCACTAAATCCAGTGCTGGAAAGTTCTGTCCCCGTCCCTCTGGGTCAGATATGAGGTAACTGGGTCTTAGTTTGGCACTGTTGACTGGGCATCACTAGCCCTAATCTGAGAGCTGTGGGCAGAACGGTGCCCTTTGCCTCTTGGACTTAGATGCCAATATTTATGAAAGGGCATTACTCAAAGTCCTATAAATGATAATAATTGTATAAATTATATAAAAACAATCATTGGGGCCTGAGAAAATGACTCAGAGGGCAAAAATGCTTGTTGCACAAACAGGAAAACCTGAAACCCACACAAAAACAGGTATGGCAGTATAGACTTGTAATGCCAGTGCTGGATCCAAGACAAACAGCTCCCAGGGGCTCTCTGGCCAGCTAGTCTAACAAAAATGGCACACTTCAGTCTCTCGCTGGTAATGTGTAGGGCAGTAGAGGAAGACTTTCTGTGCTGACCTCTGGATTCCACAGCACGCTCATCCGGGCATTCACCCCACTGCCTCGCACGGAAGAGCATACGAAAAGCATGACCCTCAGGACCACACAGTCTCATACACATTCACTGTTTACATGTGCTGGCTTCCAGAAAGTCTCGTCTGCAGAGTATCATAACAAGTGTGGGTAAGGGAAGAAACAAAAGGCTCAGACAATACTTACCAATGAAAGAAAATCCTACAAAGCATACATGATAATGCTTGATTTAAAATAACTCCAATAAAAATAAAAATCTAGTTCTTGTGTATTGCTTTGCTTGGCTGTTTAATAAGATTTATGTATCTCCAAAGCCAATACAAGATGGACACCAATGCTTTCACTTGATTATACTGTGCCCAGGAGGGAGCAGAGAATCACACCTCCTAGAAAAAGCGTACTCTAATAATTAAAGATGGATATGATGTTAAAAGATATTCTAGCAATTCCCTCACTTTAGGGATGGAGACACCCAGGTTCACTAGTGCTAGCACCCTTGGACACGAGCATCAAGAGACAGACGGCCTCTCATTCAGATGGTGTTTCTTGAGATCTCACTGGGAATCTGACCAGCAAGAAGACACAAAGCATCTGGGAGCCTCAAAGTCTTCACTAGTGAGGTGAACTAATCACCAAGCATACTCCATGTGGGCATCAATAATCAGAACTTAACTCCCAACACACTCAGCCTGGTGCAGAGGAACTCAAAAGCTACTAGCTACTGTCATTGTTAGAAGCCAGTTAAAGGGAGAAACAGAAGGAAGCTAAGTCAATGGGTTCCTTTCAGGTCAACTTCCTCTAAGAGTCCACCACCACTGAAGTAATGAGAAACTAATCCAAACCTACAGTTCAAAAAATTCTCTACCATAATCCAAATGTGTGTATAAACTGGAGCTCCAGTGTTATTAGAGAGATAGTAGGCATATTATGGCTAAAATCATGAACTCTTGGACTAATCAGCCTGTGTTCAAACCTAGCCCACCCATTTTCCAACTGGGTAGCAATAAGCAAGTTATTTGATGTCTCCGTGTCACAGTTTCCTCCTTTATAAAAGAAATGGTGTTAGTCCCTATTTTGTAGGCACTATTAGGAAAAAGAATGCAGATATTTGGAAGGCACTCAAGAATCTGGGCCAGGTGTATAGAGTAGCATCGTCATCGTCATCATCATCAACAACATCTGCAGCATCAGCATCAGTATTATAACACTAGCTGAGACGCCAGATAAGATGCTTTGTAGTGGAAGACCCTAGAGCAACTATTCAGAGCCATGGATCCTAGTGATGAGAACCTGCAAACCATCTACTGTTCAAACTCCAACCTCAGAAATACTTAAGACACTTTGCGCACTGGACTTGAAACATAAGAAATATTCTGAGATAAGAATAAAAAGAAAATAAGAGGTCCTAAGAAGAAGAGGAGGAGGAGGAAGAAAAGATAAGAGTAGGAAATGACTCTGAGCACGCCAAGGTGACTCAATGAAACACTGAATGTAAAGAGAACGCTGGAATTAGAGCTTGCCAGCTGTTCTCGGCCGACCACAGCGCAGACGGGCTGTTGAAAGGACGTTCTGCTGAATGGGATTTACTTTTTCTGTGTTTTGTACCTGTGGAATCACAGCACTTAATAAAGTTTGGAGGAAGTCATATATTCATCCAACCATTTTACAGATAAGGAAACTGAGACATAGAAAAGGACGGTGATAAGCCAGCCTGTGGCTTGTAAATACCGCAGCCTCGGAAGGAAAGCGTTTCCAGGCCCTTCGCCATCACTAGTCATCAGAACATCCCCAGCTTCCCACTATAAATCTGATTAACTAGATCCATATTTTATAAATAAGTAGCTTAAGGAGCAGGAGTGCTTCACCCAGTTGAACTTCAAATTACTTCAGATCAAAGTAATGTATCTTCTCGGATACCAGACTCTCTCTTAAAAATTTATGTGCTTTAAAATTCCTGTTACAGAGAACATAAACAGTACATTGAGTTTGATCAGTCAGTGAAAAATTAATCTCAGGGGGTAAATGTTTCATCTTTCAGGGCATCGGAGAACCACATAACAAGCATTTTACTAAATTCCATTCTGGCCCTGAAATCATCTGCTTATGTCATATGGACGAACAGTTTACCGAGAAGCTGGCTATTCCTCGCAAGGCCTCCCTTACAAGACAGAGGCTCTTCTGGAAATAATCCCATCATTCAATATCTCCCATGTTTACCATGACCCAGACAGACAATTGCAGCTTGCTCATGTCTGTGTTTAAATAAAGATTCGGGGTTGGATGAATTAGATCTCTTAGACCCACGATCAACTCTCATCCAACTTCACAAGCCCTGCATCATATTTTATTAAGGGGACTGCTTTTTCTTTAATGCTTCATCCTGACTCCCACTCCCTTCCCTGCTAGAGCCATCCACTCTAATCTTATAAAAAACATAGGTGTTGTAGTGGTTAGTTCTAAGTGTCCAATTAAGGAATATCCAAACAGCTGGGAAGCAAGCTGTAGGGTAATGTCCAAGAGTGGAAACACTGAATCTCAGTGGACGTGACCTGTTTTCTCGAAGAACTACCAAATAAAACCCTCAGAGCATCTCTACGGGGTTAGACTTCTGCTACTGATGCAAGAGAGTTTCTCAGCTTTCTCATTAATAGCGGGCGCTAGCTGCCTTCCCAGGATCATCTGTCTAGTGCAGTGTTCTCAACCAATGGGTAACCACCCCTTTGAGGGTCAAACGAGCCTTTCACGGGAGTCAGATATCAGGTATCCTGCATGTCAGATATTTATATTATGATTCATAGCAGTAGCCAAATTATAGTTATGAAGTAGCAACAAGAAATGATTTTATGCCTGGGGTCACCACACCATGAGGAACTGTACTACAGGGCTGCAGCATTAGGGAAGTTGAGAACCACTGGTCTAGTGGGTAGAAGAATGTTAGTTAAACCATTTCAGGATCACCAGCTATTAGAAATGTTTAAATATCCCTCCACTACTTTGATAAGGTGAATTTATAGACTCCGTACACATCCTGCACAAGTCTGGAGCAACCAAAAACAGCACCACGCACATGGGTAGATTCTTCCCACACCAATCTGCTCCAGTATTTCTGCTTTGCAAAGCCATTAATCTCAAAATATTTCACATCTGTCTTTGTTCTTGTGGGGAAGGGTGGGGTTGCCTCTCTTAAAGGCTTTCTGAGGTTTCGAACCTCGACCTCTGTGAGGTTGGTATACTAGGATTGAGTTCTTGGCATTCGTTCTCCCTGCCTCTTTGCTTTCTCGTTTGCCCCCTCCTTCCCTCTCTCTCTTCCTTCCCCCACATCTCTCCTTCCTTTTTGGCACCTAGATCTTGACCTAATCTCTCTTTTTTATCTCCTCCCTCCTCTCTAGGGAGAATTCTCGGTGTTCTTCCTCCAAACAAGAGGAAAAGTGATGGGCTAGCCTAGGGAAACCAGATTACAAGGGGAAAATGCCACCTGCGTACACTCAGTTTTCCACACGAATGCACTTTAACCATCCTATATCACTTTACACATTATTCATTACCGTTTGTAGATAAAAATAGAAACCAAGATGGAGACAAAAGGAAAAGCATTTTGTGATGTAATCAGATGGATGACCTCCAGGCAACCCACTTTAGCAGAATTTGTGTCTTTTACATTTATTCCTGCCTCGCACAGCATCAGGAAACCTTTTGGGAATAGCAACTTTCCTTCTATTCTCCTCGTTTTTTCTCTTGCAGATCCAGTCATCTGAGCTGCAAGAAGATTCTGGCAAAAACTGATAACTGTGTCATCTTTGCTTTTCAACAATGGCCTGTGGTTGCACTTGCAAAAATTCTTATTTCATTGTCAGCGACTCTCTTAAAAGAAACATTTTAAATACTCGGTTATTACTGTAATATAACAACCAAACAAACAGCTGCGCATTTTCAGACTACATTGCACTTTCTGATTATATCTCATGCTAACCAACGTGGTGAAGCAGAATCCTTACGTGGAGGGGTGATTTTAAACGTTAAATCTCTAGGTATAGACACATATACAGTTTGTTTCAATTATTTAACTACACCCACTTGTTGGCAATTTAAGTTTTATATTGTCATCTATCAAAATCTGAAAACCCGTGTGTGTGTGTGTTTCTGTTTCTATTATCAAAACAGGTTAAATATGCTTGAAGAACACTTTTTTATACCCCAAGTAAGCACTTGCTTCTTAATGGTCAGCAAGCACCATTTGTGAGTGAGAATACACACACAGAGAGAGAGAGAGAGAGAGAGAGAGAGAGAGAGAGAGAGAGAGAGAGAACTGGGTCTAGCAAGAGCTTTGGAAACCTCAAAACCCACCCCCAATGACAACATTTTTCCAATAAGACCATACCTCCTGAACCTTGTAGTCCTTTCAAATAGTTCCACTCTCTGGTGACCAACAACATGAGCCTGTGTGGGCCATTCAAACCACCACACAAGCATATGTCTCCATCATTAGCTTACTACTAGAAAACAAAGTCCTTGGTTCTCCCCACAGAAGAGCTGGCAGAGCTTTCTGTTCTGCCTGGTCCTGCAGCCGTTCAGTCCTAAAGAAACACACAGAGGTCTACATTAATTATAAACGGATTGACCTATTAGCTCAGACTTCTTATTAACTCATATCTTACATTAACCCATAATTCTTGTCTGTGTTAGCCACATGGCTTGCTACCTTTTATCAGTGAGCATTCTTATCTTGCTTCTTCTGTGTCTGGGTGATGACTGCAGACTGAGCCTTTCCTCTTCCCAGAATTCTCCTGTTCCAGTCACCCCACCTATACTTCCTGGCTGGCTACTGGCCAATCAGCATTTTATTAAACCAGTACAAGTGACAAAGCTTTACAGGGTATAAGATTATTGTCCCACAGCATCTTATCACAACCCGTTACCACACACAAGCTCCTTCAGGCCAGGTGATTGTTAGATGGTTTGTGACAGGATCCTAGTAGGTCTTTTGTCTTCCACCCACTAGAAAGATCCATAAGAAAAACTCTCTTAATGAAAGATTGCCCATGAGAGCCAGCTTGTCATTTTCTCATGCCAGATTGTCACGAAAACTTTATAAAGAGGAACCCAATACTCCCATCCTCAGATGGTGAAAGACTCCATCTGACCATTCTTTTGTAGAATTATACAGATTTATTCATCATAACAAATAATGTAAGTCCATTTTTATTGTTTTTATTGAGCTATACATTTTTTCCATTCCCCTTCCTTCCTCCCTTGACCCTTCTACTTTCTCCCTGTTCCCCCCCACACACTCCCAATTTATTCAGAAGATCTTGTCTTTTTCTTCTTTCTAAGTTGATCCATTTATGGCTGTTTTAGGGTCCTCTTTGTTGTCTTGGTTCTCTGGGGTTGTGGACTGTATACAGGCTGATTATCCTTTGCTTTTATGTCTAATATCCACTTATGAGTGAGTGCATGCTACATTTGTCTTTCTGGGTCTCAGTTACCTTGCTCAGTATGTTCTTTTTTAGTTCCATCCATTTGTCTATGAATTTCAACATGTCATTTTTTATCGCAGAGTAGCATTCCATTGTGTAAATTGACCACATTTTCCTTATCCAATTTTCAGTTGAGGGGCATCTAGGTTGTTTCCAGGTTCTGGCTATTATGAATAATGCTGCAATGAACACGGCTGAGCAAATGTCCTTGTGGTACAATTGAGCATCCTTTGGGTATATGCCCAAAAGTGGTAACGCTGGGTCTTGAGGTAGATTGATTTCTAATTTTCTGATAAACCGCCATACTGTTTTCCAAAGCAGCTGTACCTGTTTGCCCTCCCACCAGCAATGGAGGCATGCTGGAGAGTTGGCTCAGCCATTAGAGGCTAGGCTCACCACCCAAACTGTAAGTTTGTTTCACTGGCGAAAGGCAGAGCAGACCAAGAGCATCACTGAGAGGGCTCACCAGCCCTCAGGCCTCCCAGTTAGCACCCACGCTGCAGGCCTCCGAAGGCCCAAACAACCATTTCAAAAGTAATAATTACAGAGTCTGAATTATAAAATAATTACGAGTTAGGAAAATGCATTTGTCTTCACAATAATTCACAGACAGGTAAATAAGCAGGGTCTTATATCCCAAAGCAACGTCAGCAAGCTATAGCTCTTGAACCCCATCTGACTCAGGGGCTGATTCTATATGCTCTGGAGACAAACACAGCTTATCTCCCACCACTCCCATATCAGTTTGAGACACTGTCTCATTACGTAATCCAAGCTGGCCTCCAACCTGAAATCCTCCTGCCTCAGCACTCTCAATGCTGAGACTGCAAGCATGAGCCATAATACCTGACTTTTTAAGAGCTGGAGCGGGGAGGTAAAATAGCATGGAATGCAGAAAGCTCTTTTTGAATATTTAATTATGTGTTTATATGTATGTCCGAGTGTTAGTTTGTGCACATGAGTCCAGTATCCATGGAAACCAGAAGATGGCATCAGAGTCCTGGAGGTGGAGCTAGAGGCAGTTCTCAGTCACCCTGCATGGGTACTGGGAACTAAACTCAACAAAAGCAGTATGTACTTTTAACTGCTGAACCCCCTCTCCAGCACCTACCTCCTTTTTGTAAATTGGAACTCATGAAGTTTAATTGAAACACAGACACACATTCGTTTACTTACTGTCTGTGGCTACATTCGTGCTCCAAAGGCTGGAAACCTAAACTATTTGTTCACTGGCTCTTGACAGGGAAAAGAAATTGTGGACTCTTTGTGAAGTGATAGACAACAAGTACCGGGTTCTGACAAGCTTTTCGGTACTGTAGTTTTTAATCACGAGGAAACAATGATTAACTAACTGTTCAAACCTATCCTAAACTGACCTTACAGCTTGTTACTCCTTCTCATAATAAGTTGCTGGTCCTTAATTGTTTCAAGAGACACGTTTTCTCTTACGCTAAAACGAGGTATGACTGATACAAACCAGGGCATTTCTTCAAATGCCTGAGAGAAGCAAAGCACCCCGTCTCCTGGCAGAACTGTTCGCTAAGCTCAAAACCAAAACAATTACAGCCAGTGAAGACAGGGCACACGGACTTCCTTTCCTGCCTCTGGCCTACTTTAGGATCCACAAATCCAGAGAAAAGTTTTGAGCAGCTTTTCATTAACTTAATAAGAAAAGCAGAGTGCAGGCCTTCTTCTGAACGGGGCTTGTTTGCTGTTGTTTGCGCTCTCCCTTGACAGCGCCTGGACGTTCTTCTTACATTTCTCTAGAAGGGGTGACCCACCGCAGGATTTGACTGTTGCCCCCTCCTCTTACCCTTCTCGTGCTCAATCCATAGTCGTCATGACGGGCAGTCTGCAGATCCACCCTGAGTCTCATCCACGCCATTCCCCAGACACAAGCTTCTAGAGTGCTTTCTCAATCTGCCATCACCAATGACTTCAAAAGTCATCCCCCAAGCAAAGGCTTTGAAAAAGACACGAAGCAGACTCCCCAGCTAGTACAATTCGATCATCTCCCAGGACTTCACAAATATGCCACATTAAGTTTGTTATCTCCCTGAGTTACATAAAAGCTTATTTATATTCAACTGATCAAGGGATAACCTAAGCAATAACTTCTCTGTGGGAGGTACTGACCAGAAAGTCCTCCGCTGAGGGCCAAGGACTCTGTGGTCCAGTCCCAGGTCCTCAGCGTACCCATTCCATGAACTGCAACATGGGAGGAAAGGTTCGGTTCTCCACACCAATCTCACTGTTCAAATATGCTTTAAAGTTGTGTAGGAGCTGAGACAGACTTTCCTCCTGTGACCTTAGTCAGAAAATAATCCATGACTCACAGGTCTCAGGGAGTCTTTTTACCAAGTTTGGGAACCTGCTGCTGCTCAGTCAGCAGCTTTAAAATCCAAAACATCATTGCTATCAAATGTATCAAACGGATACTGCATTCCTGAGTCCGAGCTGATGACTTCAAGATGTACAAATTTACTTTCACTTAGAGAGGTATGAATTTTCATAAGTGACTTTTAAAAGAAATAGGCCTTCAAAAAAAAATCTATGTAGCCAATAACAGTTCTGATGAGTTACTAATGACACTGTCTGCCTTTGCCAGTCATTACCAAACTCTGCCTAACACAAAGATAAATATCTCTCTACCACAAACCAGGTTTTTTTTGTTGTTAAAAATCAAGCCAAGGAGGATAAAGAAAAGGGGGCGGGAAGATGGAGGCGGTACATATTTAATTAGGCCTAGGCTTGCTGCCTGACTTTCATTAGGCCCGGCCTGACTCGGATTTGGCCCACTCTAACTCCTTTCCGGCCACTGGGTACCAAGGCCAGTGCTTATTTCATGACTGTTTCAATTCATCAAGAAAATCCTTTGAAGGATGAAAGGAACTCCACATTTTTTCACCTGTTGTTCTTTCTTGTGTGCCTGTCACTTTGCTAGCCAAACTTGCTTCAAGCCAAACCAAATGCTCTCCAAACCTCTACAGTATGCCTTTGAAGATCTTTTAAGTATTTTCTTATGCTGGCCAGGAGAGTTTCCAAATAAGGAGTAAAAACATAACGTAGCCCTTAAATTATTTTTTTTTAAATACCAGAGATGCAAAATCACATTCCAGCATGTGCATAAAAGCAAATTCCTCTTCCCTCAGTGGAGGGGCATTGAGCCAAATACACCTGATGCTCATTACCGCTCCCCCAGCATATTGCTCATGTATGACAACATTCCTTAAAGACCATATGCTGCTTTTATTATCACCACCTCACAAGCTTTCCCAGGCTCTTTAGAAGAAGTGTTCTCTCGGCCGAGGCCACTGAGGGGCTCGTCTCACCGCTCCGGTGAAATTCGGGTTGCTATTTGCACCATTAGCAATGGCTTCCTGATTTCCAGCAGCACAGCAATTAGGGACCTAATCTGTCACCACCGGCTTCAAGATTTGGCTTTCATCAAAAGTGAAGGAATTTTCCAAGGAGGGAAAACACGGTGCTACCTTCGAGCTAAAAATAGCTCTGTCTTCCAGACAGCGCACACCTCACATGGCTCCAGAGAAACCTGCTTCAAGCAGCTTACGAAGGGGCTAGAAGGAGAAAGCCATGGCAGATACTGGTTTGTGCCACCGAGTTCGCTCCAAAATATTCACATTAGGAAAAGCTAAAACAGACAGGAAACGTCAGCACTGCTCACATTAAAGCAAATGAGGCTCTAATCTCTGGATTCTTCTTAAGAGAGTCAAAATAGATAAATAACTGAACATAATGAATATACCTAATTCTTTAAGGCTGAGATGTGATGGCTGTATTAAATATTTACGTGGCAGAAAACCAACGAACTAGGAAATGGAATAGAGTGCCTTGATAGAACTTTGTATCATAATCATAGTTTACTAAAAGGCAATAATATTGATAATTAGTAATATTATTGTAACTTCTTATGAAGAAT